CTGAGCGCAAAAACTTTCAGTTTACGGTCATATCCTTATGTATAAATGTCACAATTTCACGCGAGCATTTCCATTTTTGCATAAATGTCCATCCTGACAATCTGTGTTAAGTTTTAATCTTTACTGAATGAGCGGCGGATGCATGCACGCACGTCAGACAGACGGAAAAGAGACAATTAGTAATCAGCGCAAAAACATTCATTGTGCTGAAATATCTGTTATTGAAAGTTAAATCGAGCTTTAAAGATCAACATGCATTTAGAGTATTTTATGTGAGTAGGACCTGTAAGGGGATAACAGCGTGTAATTGTCTGAATATAAATATCAGACGCTTCATAACCGCCTTTAACAGAATAAAGAAATGACAGTATGTGATCAAAGTGATCAAAGTGAACGTGTTCCTGCAGAACATTACTCTTACCTGTTGGTTACAACTGAGTTATTCGTCTTTTATTCGTCCTTATTATATTTATTATTATTTTAATTTTTAATGTAGAGATTTAAACTATATTCAATACAGTGCCTAACAATTAAAAAAATTAAATTTATTAAAACAAATTTATGTAAGGTTTTTAACAAATTATGGTTTGTGCCACTGCTGCTCTAAACTAACAGTAGCCTACTGGTGATTACCAAAATAATCTTTCTGTTTTCTGTATTGGTTAGTCCTCCAATATGCGTAAGCTCTTTAGTAACTGTAGTAGACTATTCTATAATATATAATATAATTAGCTTTATAATGTTTATTTTTCAGATACCCAATTACAGTCAAAAAGTACATAAACAATGCCAGCAAGAATGCAAGCTGTTATGAAGGGCATAGGAGGCCATTTTTGTTATGTGAATAAATACTATTTAGTTGTTTAAGTTTATTTGCCCAATAAATGACAATAACATTTTTTTATTGAAACAATTTTTTGACATTCTAAAATTCCTAAAAATGTTTTCTCTTTATTATGGCAGGTGGTCTAATAAATTGTTAAGCACTATATGTTTTCATAGCATTCAGTTGGCAAGTTTGTTTGAAGCACATTGGGCAGAATGTGGAATAGTGTGTTTTTTGTAAAAAAAAAAGAAGATTTTTTGTTTACATCCGATTAATCGACAAAATAATCGACCAACTAATCGATTATCAAAATAATCGTTAGTTGCAGCCCTAGTACATTTATAGTTATGTTATTATATAATCTATCTATCTATCTATCTATCTATCTATGTATATACAGTCAGGTCCATATATATTTGGACACAGGCACAATTTTTATTATTTTAGCTGCTGACCAAACACAAGTTACAGTTATATAATGAATATGGGCTTAACAAACACAATTTACATTTATATAATGAATATGGGCTTAAAGTGCACACTCTGAGCTTTAATTTGAGGGCATTCACATTGGAGGAAAGGTTAAGGAATTACAGCTCTTTTTCAAGGGACCATAAGTAATTGGACAATTGACTCAAAAGCAGTTTCATGGTGACAATAACATTTTTTTATTGAAACAATTTTTTGACATTCTAAAATTCCTAAAAATGTTTTCTCTTTATTATGGCAGGTGGTCTAATAAATTGTTAAGCACTATATGTTTTCATAGCATTCAGTTGGCAAGTTTGTTTGAAGCACATTGGGCAGAATGTGGAATAGTGTGTTTTTTGTAAAAAAAAAAGAAGATTTTTTGTTTACATCCGATTAATCGACAAAATAATCGACCAACTAATCGATTATCAAAATAATCGTTAGTTGCAGCCCTAGTACATTTATAGTTATGTTATTATATAATCTATCTATCTATCTATCTATCTATCTATGTATATACAGTCAGGTCCATATATATTTGGACACAGGCACAATTTTTATTATTTTAGCTGCTGACCAAACACAAGTTACAGTTATATAATGAATATGGGCTTAAAGTGCACACTCTGAGCTTTAATTTGAGGGCATTCACATTGGAGGAAAGGTTAAGGAATTACAGCTCTTTTTCAAGGGACCATAAGTAATTGGACAATTGACTCAAAAGCAGTTTCATGGACAGGTGTGGGCTATTCCTTCGTTATTTCTACATCAATTAAGCAGGTAAAAGTTCTGGAGTTGATTCTACGTGTGGCATGTGCATTTGGAAGCTGTTGCTGTGAACCCACATCATGCAGTCAAAGGATCTCTCCATACAAGTGAAACAGACGATTGTTAGGCTTCAAAATCGAAACAAATCCATGAGAGAGATAGCAGGAACATTAGGAGCGGCCAAATCAACAGTTTGGTACAATCTGAGAAAAAAAGATCGCACTGGTGAGCTCGGAAACATAAAAAGTCCTGGATGTTCACGGAGGACAACAGTGGTGGATGATCGGAGAATCCTCTCCATGGTAAAGAAAAACCCTTTCACAACATCCAGCCAAGAGAAGAACACTCTCCAGGCAGACGGGTCACTGTCAAAGTCTACAATCAAGAGAAGACTTCACCAGAGCAAATACAGAGGCTTCATCACAAGGTGCAAACAAGGCCAGATTAGACTTTGCCAAAAAACATCTAAAAAAGCCAGACCACTTCTGGAAAAGCATTCTTTGGACGGCTGGAATTAAGATCAACCTGTTCCAGAATGACGGGAAGAAAATAGTCTGGAGAAGGCTTGGAACAGCTCATAATCCAAAGCACACACATCATCTGTGAAACATGGAGCAGTGTGATTCATGAGTGTGCATGGCTTCCAGTGGCACTGGGTTACTGGTGTTTAGTGATGACGAGACAGAGGACAGAAGCAGCCGGATGAATTCTGAAGTGTATAGAGATATACTGTCTGCCCAGATTCAGTCAAATGGAGCAAAGCTGATTGGACGGCGCTTCATAGTACAAATGAACGATGACCTAAAACACACAGCAAAAGCCACCCAGGAGTTTTTGAAAGTAATAAAGCGGAATATTCTGCAATGGCCAAGTCAATCTCCTGATTTCAACCCGAGTGAGCAGCATTTCACTCGCTGAAGACAAAACTAAAGGCAGAAAGACCCACAAACAAACAATAACTGAAGTCAGCTGCAGTAAAGACCTGGCAAAGCTTCACAAAGGAGGAAACCCAGTCTCTGCTGATGTCCATGAGTTCCAGACGTAAGGCAGTCATTGCTTGCAAAGGATTCTCAACAAAATATCAAAAATGAACATTTTATTTATGATCATATTTATTTGTCCAATTACCTTTGAGCCCCTGAAAATGGGGGGACTGTGTATAAAAATGGGTGTAATTCCTAAGCATTTTATGTTATATTATACTATAATACTATAATTATATAGTTATATAATTGCTGTGTTTGAATTGCACTTCAATTTCATCTTGATTGTTTTATTTTTAATTCTGTTCTGGTAGCATATAGAGCCGAAATTATGAAAATTGTGTCAGTGTCCAAATATATATGGACCTAACTGTGCATGTATAATATAATAAAAGTCTAGACATAAGTCAAAATTGTGAAATGCATGTATGTATATTATGTGTGTGTGTATATATA